TATATATATATATATATATATATATATATATTTATAAGATGATTCTCTAATACGGGTGGTATGATTTTAAAGTTGATGAAGAAATCTACGGGAGACTATTGTGAATGACGAGCAAACGCGTGACGTTTGAAAGGGGTAAAATGAACTTTAGAAAGATGCACAAATATCCATGTGCTCATGAAAAGTGGGAAGGATGAAGATAATGTGTAGAAAGAAGAAATAAGTAGGTAAACCCTTAGATGGATTCATAGCTAGCATATTGATATGTAAAGGTAAACATAAGGATGAAAGTTAAATAATAAAGTATATTTTAATAATAATGACCAAAAAATATTTTTCGAAATAGAAATATTAAAATTAAGTAATTCAGCTAAATAACATCACAGTAAAAAATGGGCTGAAAACATGTAAAATGATAATGAAAAAGCGATGGAAATCGCTACATTCATTTCTAAATCGTAATAATAATTAGATGCATAAGATGGACCTTTTTTTTGATAAATTGCATGATAACTCGACGTATTTATAGAGATAACAGGTTGTAAGCAATTTTAAGACTAAAGGATCTAACCTTTACAATCTGTATCGAACTAAAAGCATAGAATACATATTGTATAAAAGCTACTGGGATAACGAAAATAACGCCACTATATGGGAAAAGGAAAACTATAATAAAATTTTAAGTGTTTTAGGCATGTGTAAAAATCCCGCTTGAAAACAGCTTAGAACTGGGATCACTACTTAACGGCGAAGTCATAGGAATAATAGCAAACGAAAGGTATGGCTTGGCATTCGTTCGATCGGTTGTGTTGCCAGAAATATTACCCTCTTGGATCTCTTTGGGACTAGGTGCTATCTTTGAGAGGTGCATTGTTTCGGTCAACATAATAGTATCAACCTGGACGCAATCAATCGCTGCGCTTGCTAACGTTTTCAAGGGAATGCGCCCGAAAAGTACATGGTGATTAGGTCCTTTATCGAAGTCAGCATGGATTTCTTCCTTAGTCACCGGAGAGGTTTGGATTTCTGAAGAGCCACCGCACGTATCGCAGTTAACAGACACTAGTATCATCTGCGATTGTAACTCTTCAATGTTTAGTTCAACAGTTGAATCGTCATCAGCCTCCCAAACCGCACTCAGTCCATTGTGTCCACTTTTACTCGATTCAGCTAGGATTGGTACGGCTTTAGAATGTAATAACATGTTTTTATTTCCATCTTTTAGAGTCACCTTCACTACAAACCGCGCATCCTCATCGGGGAGGTTGGTCCCAATCGAAAAGTTGGACAAACTTATCAATTGAAAGCGCACGCGTGCATGCATGAAGAAATTTTGGCTTGGGTACTCCCTATTCAATATGGCGGATGCAGAACCTTCAGCCTCAAAGTTCTCATCGGTATCGTATTCTTCTGTTTGAAATGATTCGAGGCGTTTGAAGAGGGTGTCGTGGGTAAATACTTGAGATCCGATCACACCGCAGAAAAACTCAATTTCCAGCTTCCCGATGCAATGAGTCGATAGGTAGACCGTTTCAGGTTTGCTGGAAAACACGCTAAGGAAGCGACACCCGCTCGCGCAGAATTCACGCAACGGTACCTGAACCTCCCCTATCTTCTCCGCCTCGCTGACAAGGCCTTCAAAAATTTCAAAGACCACCATGCGATCAGAGTGAAGAACCCCCGCGTCAAGACGTAGAACGACACTACCAGCGTGAATTGGCCATTGCCCGCGGAAACTTCCATGCGGGGTCCGCAGGACCTCCTCACCGCAGACACTGAGACGTATCACCACATCAGACTGCATTTTCCTCCACAAGGCATTCGCCCAGGTCGCCGTCAATCCTGCAGAGGCGCTGAGCGTCGCGTCGTCATGAAAGCGGACCACGTGGAGCAGCACTAAGAGCGGATCCTGAATAAAATACTGCGCACGCGGGACATTGATGTGGGTTGGAGTATGAATATTTTTCACAGACAAAACAGACGCGCTGAGCCTCATGGTGGCGCGCATTCGATGAAGCGCAATGTCAAATAAGCCGTTTGTATCTAACCCGTCGCGGCCGACGGCAAACACAACGTGGTCAATAAGTTGTGTGCTTGCTTCCTCGTTATCATAAAGTTCCAGCTGATAACGGGCTTTCAATCCACGAAGGTCAGGGAAAGGCAAGAGGCATGACGCATCCTCGGCTCTCCAGGAAGCCTTCAAGGACGAAAAAACCAATGGCGTGCGGAGCACAACTTTCCCATCATTGTTCCTAATTACCACAAAGGGATCCGGCTCGCCATTAAAGACCCAATTCATCCTCTCTTCCGAATAAGCTGGCATGTACACCTTGTTAATCGACACCTTCTGGGCATGTAAGAACAATATCTTTTCCGAGATTTGATTCTCAAGAGGTGTGGAGAGGAGACAGCTAAGAACGTACACGAGGAGCTCACCCACCACCTTGCGCCTTTCCCCTATGGCGATAAGGAAGAGACGGCGTAGACCAACACCACCAAAGGCCAACTCGTCCGCCGTCAGCTCAGATGACGCGATCACGGTGTCTTTGTGGTAGAGATTAAACTCCATGATTCCTCTGAGTTGAACGTTTACAAAGACCTCTTGAGGTCGCCAGGAGGGGGTGCGTGTTTTAGACGCGGCGGGAGGGGTTTTTAGTAATTCGACCGGGGCGCCGTCCTGCCGGAGGGTGACCGTGATGCGGGCCCAAAGGCGATGTTTGAGGCCGCGCACCCCCATCACCAGCAGCGACGCCGTGCTCGGGGGGCTTTCTTGGGCAGGAGCAGGGCTACAAATTACGCTGCGTTGAAGGGGCATTGTCGAGGCGTATTGGGAACTTTTGGCGCTCGCCACGACGATCATCACCACCGTCATGTAGGGACCGAGGCGGTTGTCGGGGGTTTTGCCTGAGGCCTCCGCCGCCGCGGAAGACAAGGACGTCAAACGCATCACGCACTTCCCAACCCCACCACGCTCATGCGTCGAGGACATCGGGAGAGAGCTGGCGTACAACACCTCGTTCTCCTGTTGTCGATCACACAACTCAAAACGTACCACCGACTTTGGTTTTAGAAGAGAAATAAAGGTGGAGGACTCAACGGGCCAGGTGGGGCGCACAGGATCTTTTAGCGAGGTCGTGCGCAGGAGCACGCGCTCACCCACACTGACCTTCACGAAGGATTCCACACATGAGCTCGTAACCGCGGGATCGAGATCATTGCATCCGAGGATGTGCATGAGTACCAGGACGAAAGGAATTTTGTCGAAGAACTGACTAGGGGCGCCATCCGACTCCTCAGGGATCCAAAACTCATCCTGAGGCATCGGAATCACCTTTACAAGAGTGTTAAAGTAGTTCTGACCCTTGATTTTTACTAAACGGTCAAGAATAGAACTCGATCTATCGGTACAATGCGTACTGTATTGGACATGATCCACCTTGGCTGACCTCACAATGGTCATGGCGCTTCCCACTCGTGATCCGGAGGCGCTTTTCACCGCGCGACGGCGTGGAGAGAGACCAATGTCGGCAATTGGATCGCCTTGGACATGTTCAAGAGCTGAAAGGGTATTCCCAATGGTAATGGTGGGACCACCCTTAGATGTTGAAAAAAGCAAGCAAGATTCTGAACGCGCTTTATAGCTGCGACCAGAAGATGCATGGTGTGGTTGAAGCGTCGAAAGCGGTAAGGACTTTCTGCCCTCCAACGCCAAGAACTGTTTTAGTGTGTGTGAAAAGGCATCATGTTGAGCGCTCTCGGAGTTATTCCATTCCAGGTTAGCGCACATGTCTTGATTTAAAGGTAGCGGTCGATTATTTGTGGCGTCAACCTCCACTATGGAAGACTGACTCCAGTCTAAATGTTCCGGTTCCTTTAGAGTATCTATATCAAAAACATAAGCATCACCAGTGGGGCCTACCACCTCCTTCGGTAACTCGTCACGAGACAGAAGAGCGTCTGCCCTTTCAGCACTCGTGGCGTCCTCAATATTGCTCGAGGTATCGAAGCTATCGTTTGGAGGGACTATATCGGTCACGAGCATGACGTTGCTGTTGTTGAGCTGACAAAGAAACTGCTCGTGGTCTTCAGAAGGGGATAACAAAAGCTGTTCGACTACAACAGCCTGAAGCTCATCAACCTCACCAGGAAAGTCACAGTCCGCGGAGCTTGGGGGCAAATCAGGCGGCACCGAAATGAGTGATAATGCCTTGGTGTTCAAAGCTTTTTCTACCGCAAGCATCCACGACACTTTTCCACGATAAGGTAAATGAATACCTTCACTCGCTGGAAATCCAGTGCCATCAACAACCTTCTGACGATTCTGTCGAGCATAGTCTATCCAATCGAACCCCTCAAGAATCGTTTGCGCTTGATCATCAAGGGAATGCAAGGAAGACCGATGGGTAACTTTACAAGTTGCCAGACTTTGAGACAGTTTTGAAGAAGCGTAAAGATCTAAGCGTGTTTGCTGCCTCGGAAAACTATCTGATGTCTTGAACATGTTGTCGTACACTTCCAGAATGCTGTGCTCACCGAACTGCGCACGGTAGAGGTCAATGCCCTGGCGGCACACAACCTCCGCTTGCGCGTCGGCCTTTGCTTGGAAAAGAATTTCAAGAATGGTCTCGCGTCTTAGCACCCAGACATCCACCAAGGTTTCGCTGATGATGTCTGTTGGCCAACAGTGGGGCCTCAGGCAGAGTTCCCCAAAAAAGCTCCCCACGCCACGGACCTCGTCAACGGCCGCTACCGACGCCTGGTGCTTCGAAACCAAGTCTGGAAGCCTTGCCATTCGAACGAACCCCTTACCAATGACGTAAAGACACTCGCAAGGGAGGTTCCTCCGCGCGAATTCGAAGCCAGCCGGCACCACCATGATCTCCGCCTTGTGCGCGATCGCCCTACGCATCGCGTCGGTGGTATGACTTAGGCATGGGACCCTGCCCAGGAGGTGAACTAACCCACCGAGGCTTCGGTTGCGTCCCTCCTCCATCCACACCTTGCGGCGTCTTAGAGCTCCATTGATGAGGGCATTGGCGAGTGTGGGTTTTTTTTCAAGGCGATGGTGTAGAGCCCTGAGTGAAAGCGTGTACAGCTCACACACGGTGCTAACAACTGCCGTGCAGTTCCACGTGTCCCCGAAAAGTGCACTTTCCTCGCCAAAGGCTACACCGGGGCCAAAGCTGGTCAAGGGTTGATCGTTCACCACTATTGTTAAGGTACCCCTTCGCATAAAATAGATATATTTACAGCTATCTCCCGCGTTAAAGAGGATGTCGCCAGCGCCAAGTACCATGACTTCCATTGTGGAACAAAGCTTGAGGCGATCCTTCAAGCTCAAGTGTGTTCCTATCCAAGATCGCTGAAAAAGAACCGGGCTGGGATAATAGCTTGTGAGGAGTATGTCTCGCCGGAGCGGTACGACGTGCTCGCGAAAACCCTCCAAGAGCTTCTCAGACTGCGGTGACTCCACAACAAAGTGCATGAAGACTTTCCAAAACCAACGAGACGAAATAACGGCCACATCGGTTGTTTCACCAGGGCCACACGAAAAACTAGACCGTGAACGGTCTTCACAGAGAACAGGTACCATGCACAAAACATCGTGTACGTTACACATGCGCACATATTGAGAAGAAACAGGCCACGCTACGGCATCACGTTCGCTTAGTTGGGCTCCCGGGCCACCCTTATCAGGCCGCCGCTCCACTAAATGCCCGTAAAGAATAACAACAATCCCGCACGAGAGATGAGACTCGTTAAAGTAAACTAAAGGTTCGTTTGGTAGTAGGTAGATAAAAGTGGCCTCCCGAGCGAGGAGCTGGATCATTTCCAGCGGAAACTGTAGCAACGTCGCATTTGACGTGCACAAGGCGGAGACGACAGAGTCGTTTGTGTAGTTACGGGGTGGGTAAACACCTTTCCATTTTTTTATTCGTCTTTGGCGTAAGACTTTTTTCAAAACGACAGGGAGAAAAAGGGTGCGTAATACTCGCAATGCCGAAAGTCCTTCAGGAAGTTTTGAAATGGCTGTAGTGTTTGATTTCTTGCTTCTACGCCGCTTCAATGTACTACTATTTCTGCTAAAAGGCGAGCTGACTCTACTGTTTCGTGTTAATAAAGTGTTAAGCTTGGTTGATACGGATGCAGTGTGAGGTTTTATAGCATCCTTAACTCCCCCCTTGTTCACGATAGAGCTCAAAAAAGATTTGTTTCCATGCTTAGTGTTGGGACTATCGGAAGGAAGGATAAAATGAGAACTGCTTGCATTATAGGATTTTATTGTGGAGATGCACTCTGCACTGTCTGGATTACGCACAGGTATGGGCTTCTTTTTAGCTACATAAGTCATGTTCTATCCAATTATATGCTTATGTAGATCTATATAGATATATATCTATATGTATATATAGATATAAGCATATATTTTGTATATGCAAAAGTTTAATTTGTGTTTCCTCTAATATACTCTAAGTACTGTTATTAATGTATTTATGCAGTACTAGATATTTTGATTTATTCTTCAACTTTGTCAAACAACTTTATCGTTTTTGTGCATAAAGACGGAGAGAGAGATAAAAAGAGTTCAGTCAGGAAAGCTTAGAAAGAAAAAAAACAAAAACAACCCAGTAAATTAGTGTAAATGAACTTAACATGGTGTTATCACTCCTATTACTGCACCGTGGATTATAAATACATCACGACAAGTACTTTTAGATGTAGAAGAATTCTAAGTGTGGATACGATATAAAAGAAGTTTCTACTGAATAAAAGGAAGATAGCCTCACAGTACACTTTAATGAAGATCGCGCTTTCTCCAACACACCTAGTTGATATTTAACCGCTTTTGGTCTCTGGATGAGACAAGAGTTTAGCGCGTTCGCGATTTTTCGCTTCCTTCACAGCCGCAGTATCTTTCTTGACGCGGTTCTCTAGCTTGTCGTATGTATCCAAGACTGTGGTAAGAAGCCATTCAATACCCTTTTCTAGTGTCTCATCCTTTTCAATACCGCATGTCGCAACTACTCTATAGGGAGTCTCAGAAAGTAAGACTTCCTGAAGAAATTCCTCTGCCACAGCCGCCTCACTGCGGCTTGTTGGCAAGTCCTTTTTGTTTGCAAGCAAGAGAACCGGCTTGCCCTGTAGATACGAGTGCATGAGGGTTCGCTGAAGAACTTCGAGAGATTTCATCAAAGTCACGTCCTCCGCAGCCGAATCGATAACATAAATGATGCCATGACAGTCCTGAAAATAGTGTACCCAAATTCCTCGGAAGTTCGCTGCGCCGCCTAAATCGAACATAGAAACGTCACATGAATCTGTCTGAAAATGAACAGGATTGAAGCCAATAGTTGGAGTACAGTCCTTGTTGATTTCCCCACCAATTGCAGACAAAATGGTGGTCTTTCCAGCGTTGTCAAGACCAAAAACTCCAAGGGTAATCTTTTTAGAGGTTGCGTTTTCTTTAATGGAGTTTCTCTTTCCCATGGTATTCAAATCACCATCGATTAATGGAATATGGTCATCATGAAAATGATTTTTTGTGGGGTCGTACGTGCCTTTTTTGCGCTCAGATTCCTCCACAGAACCCAAGAGGTTCTGCAAGTATTTAAACGGGTTATCGGGACGATCTACAAGAACCTTGGTGGCCAATAGTTCAAAAAGATGGTGAATATTGTACCTTTTACAATACTCCAAACGTTTTTTATCTTCGTCGTTCATTATCGAAAAGCTATGTCTACAGTGCTACACTTTTTAAGTTTCGTATAACACACTAAAAGCAATGTTAATAAAATTTTAAAAGTTAGAAATTGTTGAACACGCTTTTCAACTCTCCGACTAACAACCCCACTCAAGTTACAGTTTTAAAACCAGACCAAACAAAATAATATTTATACATATATATTTGTGTGTATGTATTAATATTTGTCTATACAGTCTCTTATGAGAACACATTTCAAATTATAAATAATGCTTCTAAACTTCCACTACGGCACCGGCAATAAATTGGTTATAAACCTCTTCATGCAAAACCATGTATCCTGGCTCCATGTGTACAATCGCGTCTGACTTACCCATTTCATTCAGAAAGCCTTTCACAAGACGTTGCTGCTCGGTTGAAATACAGTTGAGTAGCACTAAATGCTTCTTGAAGACTACACGACTACACTCACTTTCCCACATATACAACTGATCGCACAGAGATTGCGGAATAGCAAACCCGACGTCCGCGGTCGCAAGGCCCACGGTGTTCACCTCAGACGCACCGCCAGAGTGAATCATAGACACCTCAGAGCCCTTCGCGTAGCTCGGCGACAACGCTACCCTTCCTTTCTCGGAACCGTATTTCTGAAGCATGCTGGGGTGTGCACGTAGAGACAGAAATTCAAGAATTTGCGCCGCCGTAAGACCCTTACGCAGCGCTGCCGCAAACGACTCTCGTGTGATGCGATAGCATCGCAGCAATCCCTCCACTAGTTCTTCCTGGACGGCGAACTGCTCGATGATGCGAATCAGATCCGGGTTGCTTGTGTAAGCATAGAGTCGAAAGTTCGTTTCGGTGATAATGGTGTCGATATCCTCCCGCCGCACGGTCCGCGTGTTGGGCAAGCCCGCGCCCTCCACGAGCATGGAGGTCAAGCAGAGAGGGGCCGTCGCTCGCCACTCCAGTGCGTGGTGAAAATGCGGGGAAAGGACAAAACACCGCGATCCGGCAGGCGTTTGCACGAGATAGACCAGCCCCACCTCCGCGAGTCGCGCGAGCAGATGGTGCCCAGCGAGGTCCGTTGTTTTCTGAGGAAACGCGTACATATACCGTACCCCATCCAACGACGCAAGAACCGCGAGGAGCTGCCAAAGCCGCGTCGTGGGGACCGTCTCGGCGTCCCGCAGGAGGGCCCGCACGCGGTCGATCGCGCCGCTCACCAACACCCACCATTGCCGGGGATGTGGCATCAAACAAAAGTTCAGCCCCTCCGAGGTCACGCAGCCGTGATCGGCGGCGCCGACAGGCGGAACGAGGCGGAGCAGCAGCAAAATCGATCCCAGCGCGTGCTGCTGCTTCAGATCCCCCAGTGGGGCCAACGAGCCTGCCAGTGCGCAGGTCATGGCGCTTCGCAAAAAGCGCCGGCTCGTGTGTAGCGCGTTGCGAAGAGAGACCGCGCTAAGGGGGATCCCCATGCCATCGGTGGAGAGGTCTGGGGCGCCCACAGGGAAGGAAAAATGGGGGTCCCCAGCGATGTGCATGAGGGGATGGCCCGAAAGCACGGCCGCTGGGGTCGGGGTGGGATCCCCCGCCCAGAGCCCCGTGTGTGGCCTCCACGACGACTCCAGCGCCGCCCGTAGCGTCGTCCAAAACCACTCGTGCGGTGAGCCATTCGCGGGATGCTCCTCGGCCGCTCCCGAAGGAGACGCGGCCGTGTTGCGAAATATCATGCCGAATGCGCTTGACAAGCACTGTGCTGAGAGAAGTTGCGTGACACCATCTTGCCGTGAGCTGTTCGCAAAGGGGTCCTGCACCCTGCCACCAGAACCAAAAATGGCTACCATGTGCTGATAAAGGAAGAGCGCCAAGGCAGGGCATTCGGCGATAAGAGTTTCCCTCGAAGAATGAGAAAGGATACACTTGATATAGGAATCGGATGCCATTCTTCTTGCATCGCTTTTTATTTTAATTTGCGTAGTTTGCTGATCTACTCTGTGTTTTATCACGATCGGACCTCTTTTTGCCCTAATATTGGTAAATATTTATAAGAGCGCCTTAGAAGATAAACAAGTAAGAAAATACAGAAAACAATAAAATTACAGAGCCCCAATGGCATCGAGTCAATATAAAGCGAATATATATATATATATATATATTCATATCTATACATATCTATATTTTTATTTGCTTGATTGAAGGAAATTGACTTTTCAATACCATATCGCATGTACATCTAAGTCAAGGTTTCATCAGTCATCAAATTGGCACCCAGCCATTAGCTTACATTCACACTGTAAACGGGAAACAAGCCACTCCACCCTTCACACATATGCTATCAGAGCATGAAGAAGAGTTTATAACAGACTCGGAAGAGATAGAGAGTTGAAATCTCATGTCGATAGTAATATTTTCCGTCTTCAGGTAGGTAAGGACTAATAGACAAGATAATAGCAGTTATATCTAGTGTTGAAACTTGTGTCCAGCGCCATAAAACGCAAGGAGAAGGGAAAGGTCCGTGGCCGATCTAATATGCACACCAGATGTATGGAATCCTATAATTTGTACATTTTCATCCCCAAACCAACAAGAATATCAATTTCATCACCTCTTTCTTTTTTTTATGATGCCTGCCACACGCTAAATGGGGTTAAATAAAGAAAAATAAAACGTATTTATACCGATACATATATATTTATAAATGTATTTGAGTTTGCCATGGTTTTTTTTTTATTTATATACCCCATCACCCACATTTTATTTTATGGTCTAAAAAGTGTTTTTTTTGTGTCGCATCTATTTTTGTTGCAAGCTATAGATTGCATTGCTAATAACTTCGTCGAACGAGTAGAAAATTAAAATCGAGGCTCAATTGCCACAATCACTTTTCTAGTCCTGAGCATAAGATAAAGGCATATTATCAGCTTATTTTACCTTTATTAAACCTCAAAACGTTACTCTACGAAGTCCCTTAGCGACCTCTACCAGGAAAACTCATCCACCCATTCGCCATTAAGTTGAAAGTGGAACTTATTCTGTCCAAAATGGTCTTCCGTGGTAAAATTCATGACATCTTCAGTAGCATTTGCGCACTTTTTCGAGTCACCTACATTCTGTAGTTTTTCCAGCGATGACGACGACACTGGCTTACACGAAGACCAATTTAGTCGATCCAAATGACTACGGCAAGGCTCGGTGGCTAACCCATCTGGGACGTGAAGAAGCTCTACTGCAAAGTTATCACGATCATCTGCAAGGAGTGCCACAGCTGCGTCCAAGGAATCAAAAGCTTGATCCGTACTAGCGTTGGCTCCAGCATCGTATTCGTTATTTAACGGACCCCTGTTAACCTGCCGCATTTGGGGCAGAACATAAAAAACAAAGGGGATTGCCTCATGAGTCTTCAACTCCATGAACATCCACACTACAGGAAGGCTTTGGTAGACACCGCCATAGGACTCGGTGAAAATGGTGTAGGAAGGGCATGTGTGTAGTATCGATTCAACACTTTGTAATTCGACGTTGTGTTCTGCACACGCGTCATCTTCGACAATGAGGGTTAACTTAAGATCATACTTACCCAAACTCTCATCTAGTGGTTGGTGAAAGCCGATCCATAGTCGCGCAGGATTGTCATGCGGGGCTGGCAGTATGCGCACACGGAAAAAAACAAGGGTGTAGCAATCGGTCTCCCTTGAAAAGGAACAACGACTCGCACATCATGAAAGCAACGACAGTCGAAGCAGACATCACACCGCTGACAAAATTTTAGCACTTCATCTTCAAATGTTAGCCAAATACAGAAGCTGTCTGATTCAGACATCGCGTCCGCCTCGAACTGCTCGACATCCTCAGACAATGATCCCCTTTTGCAACCTGATAAACAAAGAGTCGGCTCGGTACTTGGTGCTGCATGTCGGGGTCGTTTTCGCCAATCCCGCATGAGTACCTTCAGCCCACCCTTCGCATCTTCAGCGACACACAAAACTTGATACGTGGTCCCAGGCTCTAGCCCTGTTCGCTGAAAAAAATGAAGTATCTCGTCCAAGTCAGAAGATTTATTTCGGATGTCCACATCAGTAACCTCTGTAGGTGCTTTACCAGGTACATGGACCTCGGTTCCCTTCCGCCCAATTGGGCTTATCACAGAGGTTGACAAAGCAACGTCCGCAGTAGTAAGGAGCACAATGCCGAAACCACGTGCATTGGTATTGATGACTGCATCCATCTCAAGAAAAGCTCGTATTCGATCTTTTTTCCACCAATCCCAGACCTCGGCAGGGCCGCCCGTGAAGGAGCTAATTACATGAGCGGCCGCAAGCACCCGCAATGCCGAGTAGGACCCCGCGACCTTTGCCAATGCCTTTTCACAGATCGCCACCCAGAGGTCGTAGACGGGTGCGCTGGTGCAACCATAGGCGGTGAGGCGGCCCGTCCGCGCGTCCTGGACGCACGGGAAGTAGCCATCCACCGACACGAGGCCCCACAACCCGCGTTGTGCGAGCCACACCCCGTACACCCCAACGGCCTCATCTTCGTTGGTAGGGTTAAAGAAAGACCGTTGGAGCGACCAGGGGGCCTCCGCCAGGGTGCGCAGGGCCGACGCCACGCTGTGGTCCCCCAAAGGGCCCACCCGCAGCGCGGTCGGCCGCGCACGAACGGTGGGCCGAACGCCCACAGGAGCCCATCGCACCATGAGCGGGACCTGGCCTGGGGAATCCACGCGATGGCCCAGGGAGGCCGTGAGGGGCGGGAAGGACAGGTCCACGTAGTCGACGCCGTGGCGCGTACATAGCCCCGCGAGGACCCGCGGCCGCCGCTCGTGAAGCACGTCCGACAGCAACCTCAGCTCCTTCATCAGCGCGAGCATGAGTTGGTCGGTCACCGCAACGGTGTTCTGCGTCCCTCGCACAAGCCCTCCACTGATTAACGTTTCGGGTTTTGAATAGGACGCGCATCGTCCGGTACGGACGATGATCGAAGCATGAGTGGGGGGGCCCTCCGCGACAAGGCGCCATTCCCCCGATGGCACCGTCACTAAATAGTGCCCGTTTGGCACGACGACGGCACCGGAAAGAATGAGAACATCTTCAGGATCCTCAAAGGTATACTCTGCCGTAAAGGTTGTGTCCTTGCTTTTGTTGATTAATACCCAGCGTTGTATTTCAGGACGGCTTACAGGTTTATTGTCGTCCCCAAGTAATACATACAACTGCTGTTCTAATTTTGCATCGACCACGTACTCTGAGTGCGATAAACGCCACTTCGAGCTGCTTCTTCTCGACTGTTTCTTGTGGATGTCATCACCACCCCGCTGAGAGGGTCCGATCTGTGGAAACACGTCGGGTGACTGCGCTAAGCCTCGCAGCGGTGATGACGAACCGAACGACGCGTTGACTTCCATGTTATGATAGCGATCTCTTTTAGTTGGAGAGGGTTGCCTTATAAATGCTGGGTCGTCTTGCAATGGGGGTTGTATTCGCGGACTCCGCGTCAGTCTACATCTGACGTCAGAGCTGTAAGCAGGAATATTGGTCGGAGCTGTCCGAGGGCTTCTGACCTCCGCACTAAAAGTACCAGGTGGTGCACCAGCATTATTCACGTCATGAAACGCATCACACTTTTTCAGCACCTCTGGGGATGATAAACTAAGGGTTAGTGTTGCCTTTGGAAAGTTTTCAGGGCCACATACGTTAGAATCAGGACTAAAGTCCAATGTCGTTGATCTCTCTAAGGATTTGAAACAATTCATTGTCTCTTGTGGCAGCTCGATGTCCCTTTTACGTGGCACTGCTTGCTCTCCAAAAGACGGATGCGTTGTATGAAGTGTCTCCTGTAGAGACCTACGTGAAGGATCTGTTGGCTCCCTCAAATCCAACACTTTTTTACAAGACTGTTTCCACTGTCTATTAGCTCCAATCTTCGACGCCGGTTGTTCGTCGCGAAGACAACACAACCTTCCCTGCTCACCTACAGACTGAACCTGTGACTTGGAAATTTCTCCAGCTCTCACTGCAGAAGAAAAAATGCCCGATTTATTTTTTACTTGGTAACCATATCCAAACGATTCGTGATAATCATTTGTGTCAGCAATGATTTTGATATCATTCTCGTCAGAAGGTCTCCGGGAAGCGTCTTGTGTAGCCACAGACTCCATTCAATTGGAGCTTAGCAAGGGATAAGCACTAAAAGAAGCGACAAAGTAACAAGTCTATTCAAGTAGTTCTAGAAGTTCAAAAGTCACGGAAACTAGAATTGCAAAGCTAGCCTCACTATGTTATGAGTTTTTCTAATTATTATCAAGAGAAAAAAGTACTGTTTTCATCCCGTATAAATAAGCTTCAGGCAAACAACGAAAAAGGTTTAAAGATCAAAAATGAAAAAATAGAAAAGATGATGTTTCAAGACCTCTTACACTCCTCTAGCAACAATAATAAGTTACATGAAATAATCACTTCACACTTTGCGTTTTCAATGCAACCTTTTGTTCTGAAACAATGTTCCTAGTACCAAAAAATTATGTACATCTATCGAGTTCATCTTTCACCAGCCTTTCATCACTTAGTACTACAAACTTTAAAATTTGAAAACAGCATTACCTCGTGTTAAGGGGCAGAGACAGGGAAAATCTTATGGAGAGTAGCTTCCCTTTTCGACACGCTTTAAAGCGCTTTACTTTTTAAAAGAAATAAAAAGGACAGTATAAATGTTAATTTACTACTTGCAAAAAGGTTGAAGGATAAAATAATGATTACTTGAAGAAGCACGACTAAACAACAATTAATCACCACTATTGATAGAAGGAAAGGGAAGGATAACAACATCTGCAGTAAAAAAAAAAAGACCTTTTGTGGCTTTCCTTCATCAATCTTTATCTTCATTATTGTTGTCATTATAATGAATCGTCTGCCACCTCCCATGACGGTTTGATGGGGGATTGGTCTCTTTTCTTATTATACTTACTGTAAGTGCCGCATTCGGCGCGGCAATGTTCAAACCATCAGCTATTTCTTTGTGGGGATGCGTCTTCACCAAAGATGCATCTGACTCTAAATCAACTACAGCCCTTGGAAATTTTCCTGATGAGGTGTTTGATATAGTAAAGGGCTCTTGCATAGAGACTTTGGACGGAATCTGGGAGGAGGGAGTATAGAGGGGATAGCTAAAAGGTTCAGCAGACCTTCCCTCCAGGTTATCACGCGAGGGTCTAGGAGCAGGACGCTCCACCTTCACTGAACTACGAAGCGCAGAGATAGCATCAGATGCGGAGCTCGGCGGACACCCTGCAGGACCGAAAAGGGTACTAAGGAGCTTAGATTTCACCTCGCTCTCACCTTTGTTCGGCATCTCGTGGGTGCGGTCGTGTGGCTCAAAGGGTATCATCCCCGCGGGGTCGTTCACGAGGTCGTTCGGCACCTCGGCCCATCGGTGGTAAGTGGCATAGAACTTTGACTGTAGCCTCTGAACTTCAGAGAGAAGCTCGTTGCGAGCGGACGCCATCACATGATAACGGCGGCTTTCCTCCTCACTGCGGATCGGAACTTCAACCACCTTCAGCTGCCTATTGGGTCCGCCCCTCGATGCCGCGGCCCGCAGGCCGTTGGTCACCTCGACCGCCGGCGCATCCGCGTCGGACCTCTCGCCATCCTCGCTGTCGTCCTCATCGTCGTGGTGGACGAGGCTGGAGGGGAGTTGGCGCCGTATCGCGTCGTAGATGGCATCCACCCGTTCCTTCGTGGAGTCCTGTGTGACGTCAAAGGAGCTCGGGCCCCCCCCTGGGCCGAGCACGTTCAGGGTTGGATCGATCACACCCAAAGGACTGACCGGGGCCGGCCGGCCGATGCGCTGGTCCGGGGCTCGGGCCCGAGCGGAGGCTGAGCCCCGTCGCCGGGACGGCGGATCCTGGCGAAGCCGCCAGATCAGGTACTCGGCGCGCGCGCGACAGACAGAGGGGGAGAAGGCTGAGGACTCCACCTGTTGGGCCTGAAGACGCTCCGTGGGGGTTTTAGGCGCCGCGACAACGGCCTGCACGGCTTCCGCGATCCACCCCCATGCCTGCTCGCGATCGCGCGCGGACGATGTCGAGGACAAGGCTGCGGGAAAGCGTGTCACAAGAAGCAATATGTAGTGATCTATAAACAAATTAAAGTCAACTGACATGGAGGCTTATGTGGATGTGGGAGACTATCATAAAGGAAAAATACTTACAAAAAAAAAGTTAAGGTTAAATCATAAGGCTCAATTAGAATCGCCAGACACTGCAAACACCAACCAATTGGATGATTGAAAATCTAATAAAATACATGTTTTGATTTAGTTATAAATTAAAATGCAACTATGCATGGAATTTTTTTTTTAAAGGCGACGCTTTGCATCAAATATATATATAAACAAAGAACCCAATATACACATGCATGTATATAATTGCACAAAAATTTTAAGGGCGGTAGAGTTTGACTCTAAAACAAGTTTCAGAAAGTGAAATAGGGAATAATGAAGGGTCGCCGTTGATTCTGAAAACAATAGCCACAAACCAATGTGGATGCTTGTCTGACAAACCCCACATCGTATCCAAAGGAGAGGCAGGAGCCTAGAAACAGTTTCGTGTCAAACCTTTTTTTTTCAAATTTTTGGTAAGCATCGAGCAGCTATTCACGTGATGTCGAAAATTATTCGTGGAAAAAAGCAAACAATAAAAACTATAAACATACTGTGAAAGCTGCCGCATTCTGTGAAATCAATTAGAGAGGATGATCCACGTGAATATAAAGGAGCCAAACATGATGAGTTGGGCATAGCAAAAATCAAGACTAGCATCAAAATCCCATGTAGTAAAATCCGCAAGCTCTTTATTGTCAAGCACAACATTCACAAAGGGATGTACTCTGAAATTAGCAGAAACACATGTGCGTATGTTCCTACTGTTTGATAAAAACAAAAAAAATGTATTATTCTTTGGGCTGCTTTGAGAAGCCACTAAAGAATTTTACGCACATCGATGAATTAATCCGCTTGTTCCGTGCCTTTGTTCTTCTCCGAAAAGTACGAGTCTGCAGTTTCACAGTATTCAGACCCTGTTGAATCCAAAATCAAAGACGCAAGGCTGCTTTGAAGATAATTTAAAACAGCTGCATTCTTTTCGACGTATACATGTCAGACATATGATCTCTAAAATATACATATAGGAGATAGCAATAATAGCTAATAGAAAGTATCCGCAATAGAATAAAGAAAAGAAATACTGGATCGAATGGTCAAAAAGCTATGCAATGTGCCTGTCTCTTTAAACGTGTATAAATATATGCAGGTATATTTGTATCATTATGGATATGAATTTCCACAAAATTAGATTCTGATGCCAGAACTATGAACACGTCACAAAAATAATCCCATCTTAGCTGTTAAAAAAACCATATGTACATTGACGTAAGTTTCAAAATGTACATTGGCTAAACAAAGCGTGCTAAAGTCCACATATTTATTCCTCTTTGTATTATAACAAACGGAAATGCAGAACATTTAAAAGTGTCAAATAAATTTTCAGAAACAGCAAAAAAAAAGAAGATTATCAAAAGTATTTCGAACGTTGTGAAATATTTAGCCTTCATACCAACCATTTTTTGAGATAAACCCTAATGGTTACTTATCTACTTTCTTTTTAGCTTCCAGAAAATAGACACAACCTTAGAATTTAGTGTGGTCTTGAAGAAATTTACCTCTTCTCCATCAAGAGACATACCCAGTGAAGCAATTAATATTGTAGGCATCAACAAAAACAAAAAAAGACATCAGGTCGATTCTCTGATGCATATATACATCTTGAAGGAATTTTTCATCGCTCTGAGAGTGACAGCAAAAAAAATCAATAATAGTATTTCTTTTGCGTGTCATGAGGTTGAGCCTCAGCAAGGTCATGACAGAGTTCCGCACTTCATTATTCTACTTTTTCTTGTCTCGGCGACCATTCCTGCGGTCACTCTTCGGCTTTGTTCGCATAGGCGGCTCTGGCACAAAATAAGCCTTTGACTTAGTCACCCTCACAGCAGCTGCGCTCGGCTTAGGTTCTACTGGAAGAACTTGCCTTAACTCAGGATAGTTGCGGATTTGAGCTTTGGGGTTAGATAACTCTACGGCAACCTTGGGACCGGCGGCAGAGTTGCTGGTCTTTTCACTACCCTCAAGCTCTATTTGTGAGCTTTCCACATAATGGATAAGTTGGTCCAGAACCGCCGCCTCACCAGATGGCCGCGTCGCCACGAGGCAGCTTAACATCCTTTCGTATATACTATTGATGTTGTGATACTCGACGTACTGCCGGCTGGTGCTTTGATGAACAGCGGTACTCCACGACTCGAGTGGACCGCCGTAATCAAACAAAACATGCTCAATCCCTAGCCAAGGCGCATTCTGGCGTTGTATACGCTCGAGATTCGTCTCGCGTAGCGCAGCAGCTAGAGACATAGTTGGGTTGTTGTGTAATTTTGCATAAAACAACTTGTAAAAGCTATCCTTATCTTCATCGCCATAAGAGGGGAGCGCCACGGTGTGAAGAAGTGTCGCTCGGTGGGTATACATGTCAGCCAAATTCCGCCGAAGAGCCTCCTCAGGATCCCCTGCTCCCGTTTCTCTGTTGCATTCATCTATAATATGCAAGTCACCAACGAGGCGTGGTATGAGGCCGTTATAGGAAATTGACGCGTGGCGAATTTTCGTATCGTCCCTCGAAAGTGATGCGAGGTCGGAGGAACCCATGTTGCTCTCATGCAAAACGATGGCGTGGCTCTGCGCAATCCCTGTGGCACTCAACGGCCCGCTTACGACATGTAGTAGGTCCTTTGGGAGCGAGGACAACCAGGCAGGCGAGTCCGCGACGGACCCAGGGCCGCCCTCCGCCCAGGCCGAACTAAGCGCCACGATGTGGGCCGCCTTGTCGGCTTCCGTGGCGGCGTAGGGGAAGGCTTCGTGCGCGAGCTGAACCTTCCACAGCAGCCTCGCCGCCGCCACGCACCACCGCTCCATGCACGTCACCCGCTGCGCATCGCAGAGGCAGCCAAACCAGGCCCCGATGTTGAGCCCGGGCCGCGCATGGGGCTGTGAGTCCACCACGTAAAGCACCCCCGTGGGGGCGGGGAGCGGCGGCGGCAGGGCCCCGAGCAGGGGCTCCACGAAGAGCCGGTGGCCTGCGCGCATGCAGCGCTGCCAGTCCGCGCGCGCTCCGTCGACCCCTGTGCGAAGCCCGCGCAAGCAGCCCAACGCGGTCGCGCGCCAGGCGTCGTAGCCCCCGGGGGGCAGCCCCAGCCGCCGCGCGCGCACGCCGGCGGAGCCACCGAGGACATAGGCCACCCCTCCCCCTTCCCCTTCCCCTCCGCCAT